AAGATTGAAAAGAGAAAATGAAGTATGCTTTGAGGGAGATGGAGAGGGATCAAGAGGGAGATTTGGAAAGCTAGAGGAAAATATAGGAGAAAGAGAGAGAAGAGGTGTGGTTTTGGGATTCTAGTCACTTCATGAGTAGAGTGACTATGACACATTACTTTTAGATATCTGGTATTCATATCATGAAAAATTTCTTACAAGTTACAAGCTTTCTAGATTCATAAAAATTGTTTGGCATACATGGATATAAAAAGGGGAAAGCAATTCAAGTGCAGTCATAACAAATCATGATGTATCTTTTATAAAATATAAGATTTTTAATAAAAGAACCTTAAAAAACAAATCAACGATTAATAACATATCTATTATATGATTAATCCTTACATAACTATTAGCTACTGCAGAAATATCCAAATAAGGCTCCTAATGACAAGTCGATTAACTCTTTCATAAGGCCAAGATCTATTTTTCAGCGTGTTGAAGAGGAATAACTAGTGTCCATAATGCATGCAGTCGCAGAACACACTCATCTTCTTCTTTAAATATGCCCATAAGAAGATATGTACTAGAGTGACAATCGTGGAGTAGTTTGATAACCCTTATAATAGAGTGGAGCTACTGGTGAGTGAATAATTTGTGTAAAATCTAGATGTTTTAGATCATCAACATTTATCCTGAGTTAGATCAAAAACATTGTAAGAGACCCATAAAATTATTGCTACGACAGTGGTGAAAGTATGAGGTGATCCATAATAATGGTGCAGGAAAATATATATGATACTTGGAGCATATTATATGATAATCTCAATGGCTAGTGCAGAGCCTAAACATATTTATACTTTGTCATGATATATGATTTTCTATAGGATAATCTTATGATAATAATAGCGAATTAAAATCATCTTATGATGGAGTGCGTAGTAGCATAGCAAGTTAGGAAACAACACACATCTTCATTGTGAAGGTTGCTGAAAATTAGTAGTGACTAGAGTTTTCTAAGTCTTAGGGTCTATTTGGGGATGCTACAGCTTATTGAATAACTAGTTGTGAAGCTGCTTTTAGGATAAGCTGTTGTTAGAAAGCAGCTGGTGGTGAAGTGGTGTATCATTTGTATGGTATACTATGTTGTAGTTGTTTCTAAGAAAAAAGACTGTAATGCTCTTATGTATATCTGTTAGGTGTGAGATCATTGCTTCAGAAATAATTCAAACAAAATAAAAAAAATATATTCAACATTTCAAAAAAATTCAGAAGTTCATTATTATACTACTTCAAGTGTAATACATCACTTAACTTAAAATTACATGATAATAAAAATTACAATAACAACAAATAATATTATTATAATGTTATCCTTCAAGTTCAAACATGAGCACTATCTGAATTGGATTTCTTATTATCATCAGTCGGTCTGAAAAATTTACAATTATCAAGTGTACTATTTATGGGAGACCTATAGGATCTTCTCACATAGCTAGCTTCTCGTCTTTAAGTATACTTGGAACATTGCATATCACAGTTGTAGTACAAAACTCTAGAAGCATTTAAAATTCTTAAACTTATATTTTCTGAGAATGCAAAATTCAATGAGTATTCAAAAAATTGGAGTATATGTGTGATAGAACCAACAAGTAAATAAAAAAAGTTAGGACTCGGACTCAACATAAAGAAAATCACAATCAGCCACAATAAGAAGGCAAAGGACCAATAAAGAAAGAAATCTTGGCTGCCTTTAAGTGTTTATTATCAAATTTGTCCAAGTTAAAAAACAAAGCGACATAAAAACCATCTGGAAGAATCTCTGATGTCATATGACTCATCATAGACCTCAAGAAAAAAAAAACTGAAGCAAATCATAATGCAACAACACAACATTACTTAATATTTATAAGCACAGCATAAGACTGCATAAGAACAACACATAATAGTCCGAGCATGACAAATATGAAAGTCAAACAATCACAAATAATAACAAACTGTTAACTCTTAACAAATCAAAATTTTTTAGTCGTGTTGGCTTTCATAGAAAAGCCTATGATAATGACCCCTTTGTTCAGCTACAATCGACATGAACAACTCTCTTTTAGTTGGACCCTTGAGCAACTTGGTAGAGAATAAGTAAAATGGAATGTTATCATAAGTTTCAGGGATCATCTCGAGTGTTCCGATGACATCATAAATGGAAGAAGGTTTGTGTGATGAACTTGGCTAAGCTGAAAATTCCGAAAATGTTGCAACTAGTTTGAAAATTTGATGCCTTAGGAAAAATGTTTTGCTGGCTTTCTTTTTCCGCATGATGGGTTCAACAAAATATTTTTGCTTTGTATGACTGGATGTAGCGCGCTCAGTTGTAGTATGTTATAAACATCTCTCAAGATCATTTGAATTATCGTTCTGTTGAGATGCTTCTTAGAGATCCAAGTTAATTGGAGTTTCTTGACTTGGAGCCCATGCATGATCACTAGTGACAACAACTCCATTGAGCATCATGCCAAGCTTCTCCTCAAGTTCAGGATCAATATCAAAAAGTTTGATTTTTTTTTTGCATTAGAGACATTCTACATTTCAATGAAGTGAAAACAATAATCATATTATCATACATGTGCTAAAAAAGTTATATGACATAAGCATTTAAAAAAGTAACTTCACGTCCGATTTTTTCCTTCCACCATTTTTTTTAAGCATCTAGTCATTTTTTATGGGGTCACAATCCAGTCTGGTTGACCCATATTTCAATTCTTTTCTGCACCTTTCATTCCTTTTTTAGTTGGTGCCACTAATTTTTTAATTGACTCCTATCATATTTTCTTCCAATTGGCTCACAAGAATTTTGAATTATATTATGCTAGCCTTCTTTACTGAAATGGATTGTAGGTCGAGTACCCAGTTTAACCTCTTTTAGATAGACATTAAAAGACAAACACTTCTCTATCTCATTTTGTAGACAAGCCATTTTCTATTGATTTGTCCATAACAACTCACTAGTAAGGAAATAACAAATAAAAATGTGATAAGATAGAAGTTGTTAAGATTTGGAAAAGAGGAAGTTTAAAATTTGGAAAAAAAAAATCAAAACTCAGGGTCAATATTAAGAATTAAAGAATTTGTCATCAAACAATCATAATGAAAAGGGGATCTTGGTTGTCTTACTTCAGTGTAGGACAAATTCTTATATGTAGAAGGGCATAACAGCATAAAGGTTTCCCAGAAGAACACCAAGGTCATATCACTCATCATTGCCCCATAAGCCCTCCCATGTTCATTAGTTCATATTGCAACATACCAAAGAAACCAAAAGAAACGGGATAAGCCAAAATTTCTCACATTGAGGGAGAGCCCTATAAGTGCCCCCATGCTCATCAATTGACATTTTGGCATACCAAAGAAACCAAAGAAACTAGAATTCATCACAAAGATGTCATAAACTAACACATCCAAAGACACACATAAAGAGTAGAGCACCAAAGAAACCAGAAATTTTCACATACATGTCATACCCAAACACACCCAGACACATCAAATCGTATTGACATATGAAAAAAACCGAAGTACGAAAAAAAACTCACATATAGATGTCATTATCAAACACAATCGAATGCACATAGGAGGAGAGCCTTATAAGCTCCCAATTCTCTTATCACATTTCCATACCAAAGAAAAAAAAAATAGAGATCCCCACATAGACTATTAAAACCAAACACACTTAAGGACATTCATGCTCATGTCATCAATTCACTCATGCTTATATTCATCAATTCACTGTGCCCAAAAATCAAACATACCGAAGAGACTCATGTACTTAATGAGATATTAAGGAGAGCTCCATAAGTGCACTCATGCTCATGAATTCACATTTACGCAGGAGAGGGAAATCGAGATTTGTATAAAACCTAGCCAAACACACAAAATAAGGAAGAATACACCCTATCAAGATGACAGAAGATAGGAAAGTCTAGGCATACCTTTAATGAAGAATGATCAGGAACGAGAAGTTGGAAGAAAGAGCCGAACAAAGAAAAAACCTTAGGGTAGAGCTGGAGATTGCGGTGGTAGAAGGGGAAAGCTGAGGGAAAATGGAAGTGAAACCGCAAAACACAAAGGGAAAGGACGACCGTGAATAATATCATATGTCAATGCATATATTTTCTTAAAAAATTCGTTAAAAAATGCATTTCTTTGATGAATATTCAACGCATGTATTGTATTGATTAATTTATATATAAATTCTTACATCGTGTAGAATGATTGAACCAATATATACAGATTCTAGTTAGGTAATAGAAGTGTACTCTTTGTTTTTTTCCTTTTTTCAGCTTCCAATTGTTCCTAGCCTTTGAGTTCACGCCATGTATACAATAAGCCAATATTTCAGTACGTCAATGATTTGATATAAATGTGCCCAGTTGCTACTTTTATTCTCTTCAAATTGCAGCAAACAGATATGGTCTTATGCATCATATATGCATCATTCTCCAGTTAACTGCTCATTTAGATTTTATCCTCTTTTGTTAATAGTTTGTGACCTAAAATCCTTTTAGGCTTGAATCAAAAAATTTATGGATCGGATTTACATTACACCCCCACCCACACAGACCCACCCATGCACATACGCGCAAATGTATAGTTCTACTGTTACTTTGTTGGAATCGGAGTTTTGGATTACTTTTAATTGAAGTTCAAACTTTAATTGCTCTAAAAGTTGTCTCGAGATTCATGTTACGCTTCTAGATTCGTGCCGGATGATTAAAATTTTTTTGATGGTGTGTGTGTGTGTGTGTGTGTGTATATATATATATATATATGTATAGCTATTGTCTTTGAGATGCCAGACCCTTTTTTCATTTGTAACTCCTCTTTTTTTTTGACATTGTGAATTCCTCTCCTTTGACTGTGTAGTTCCATCCATCTATACTTTTTTTCACTTGAACCTTTATGTTTCCTAGTGATGTTTGTTGCTTAACTTTTTGTTATCATTCTTACATCTTTTATATGTAATCCAGCAAGTATACGACAAGGACACATTCAGCAGCGACGACAAAATGGGAGATGCAGAGTTTGACATCCAATCCTTTCTTCAGGCTGTGAGAATGAATTTGGCTGGCATCCCAAACGGCACCATAATCACAACTGTGCAACCCAGCAGGGAGAACTGCCTTGCCGTTGAAAGCCCAATCCTTAAGAAAGATGGAAAAGTAATCCAAGAATTGGTTCTCAGGTTGCAAAATGTAGAGTCTGGTGAGGTTGAACTGCAGCTGAGCTGGGTTAGCATGCCAGGTGCTCCAGGTTTCTGAAACAAACTTTATTGTAATCAAGCCATATTTAGTTTTTGCTTAAATAATCATTGAGCACGTGTTTCTGGACAAATTTTATGAGATGTTGCTTATATAAAACTTATATCATGGGTCCTTATTAAATCAGTGAATCATTACAGTAGCAGGATGTGTGTTCACTATGTTTTGTCTCATGTTTGTGTAAAGTTAATGCAGATTTCATTCTCATTGGTGTTCTGCACTCTCTTTTTGTATTTTTTTCTTTTTTTTTTATTTTTTTTATGTTATAAGTTGATTTTATTGTTATTATTATTTTTTGTTTTAGGTGTTGGGATGAAATATACACTTAGGCTTCGATTGATTAGGACTCAAAACCACATTTTGAAATATGATTATCGGAACAAAATTTTAAACAGAAATACAATAAAAATAATCCTAGAAAAAAATACACCAAGATTTATGTGGAAAACCCCGGGAACATGAAAATTTTATGGAGTTACAACACCCAGAAATTTCACTATGAATGAGAAAAAAGCATAGAGATACACACTCAGATCAATTCTCTGCAAATATGGAAATTTACAGAAATTTGCTCTAACTCTTTCTCTCGATCTCATAAGAGAAAGCCCTTGTTGAAATCCTCCTCTTTGATCCTTGTCGAGAAACACCACACACAAGAAGATTATCTTGTTCATCATATCACGAACTTAAGAATTGAACAATAGACAATTATTTCGTCAGGGCAATCACGTCAAGAAGCGGTGCAAATATTTCATGCACTCAGGATGTAACGACCCAATCGGTAGCATGGTTATGCTCGTTGTGGCGTAGTTATGTTGCCCGGCGTAGCTATGCCTGTTTCGGGTAGGGCTGTGAAATTGCCTTGAAAATTGTAAATCGCTTGAAAATAGGATCAAATTTTAGCTCGAATCGAAATCGGATTGAACCATTCAAGTAGAGCTACGGACCAAATTAAAGGATCGAAATTATTTCGATTTGTCCTCAGCTCGGATTGGGATTGATATAAATTCTTATGAGTTTATATATTTAACATCTAAATTTTTAGTTTTAAATGCATGATGCATTGTCAGCATGTTTGATGAGGGATTTTTTGCTTGAGCAGAGTGTCAGGGATTCAAATCCCCTCTTTTCACCAAAAAAAAATTGCATATTTGGTTGGTAGCCGGCCGCGCGGGCCAAAGCGGGTTCAAGTCGGGTCGATTTGGCTCACGAGTAAAAAATGACATCTGAGTCGACTTGAAAATCGGATTGATCCACACCATATCAGATCGAAATCTAGTAGGATCAATCCACGGTCTGATTTTGATCTTGTTAAAAAAAATTCGCTCTAATTTCGAGTCAGCCCTAGATTGGGTCGAAATCAGATCGTTCATACCCATAGTTTTAGACATAAGTACGTCGTGACAATAGTTTCCATACTAAATAATCTCTCATTTGGAGATTGATTTCATTCAATGCTTGCCCTCCACATTTATATTATGTATTGTAGTATGACTCACACCCTCAGTTTCAAACTTCTTGGACTCCAACTGAAGACAACTTGGCTCTAGTTTTTTCACCGCCTTCATCAACGTGTTTGCAGGATTCTGAGTTGTGTATCTTATCCAAAATGTGTCATCTTCTAGAAGAGAGCGCATAAAATGAGACATGAGATGATTTGTTTTATCATGGCATGAAAAATAGTATTCTGAATAAGATGAATTGCACTCATACCGTCACTATGAAGTTCTATAATCCTTTGCTCTCATTTCTGTCATAAAGTCATATAGTCAAATCATCTCCTTGTTAGTCTCAGTGATAGAGATATATTCAATCTTCGTAGTTAAAAGTATAATAATTTTTTGCAGCCTAGAAATCCAACTCAGCGTTGTGTTTCCCAAAGTGAAGATATACCTTATTGTACTCCTTATACCATCCAAATCTCTAACCATATTGAATTTATAAATTCCTATAAACTGATCCCTACACTTCCTTGACAATGATGTATGTCTGGATTGTTCATATATCTGCTGGTGACACTCACTATATATGCAATATTTGGTCTATACAAATCATAGCATATATTAGACTTCCAACTGCTGAAGCATGCATATGTCTCTTCATATGTGCTTGCTCTACTTCAAACTTAGGCAGTAATTCATTAGCTTGAAGTGACTACCTAATGGGGTGCAAATTGGTTTTCCCTCATCCATGTTAAATCTCTGTAGGACCTTCTCAGCATACTTTGTCTGAGATAACTTCAGTGCAGCTGCACTTTTATCCCTATTGATTATTGTCCCAATGATCTTTTTAGTTGGACCTAAATCCTTCATCTTGAACTTCTCTTGATAATTGCTCTTTTAATTTTAATTTTTTTTTTTTATTTCCTTCATATCTACCTCTGCAATCAGCATGCCATTCACTTAAAAAGGAGTAAGATATAATAATTATCGAAGTATTTGATGAAACAATAGTTGTCTGTTTGGCATTTCATGTACCCACTGTCGACATAAAACCTGTCAAATCTCATGTACCACTGTCTCAGGATCTGCTTCAAGCCATAGTGGCTCCTATTCAATTTGCAGACAAAAATTTCTTTCTTTGGAACCTGTTAACCCTGTGTTTGCAACATATAAAATTCATTCAGATCTCCATGTATGAAAACTGTTTTTACATCCATCTACTCCAGATATAGATCTTCCTTTGTTACCAAACTCAACACAACTCAAACATTTGTCATCTTTTTCATAGGATAAAAAATTCATTACAATCCACTCCTTCCTTCTAGTCAAATCCCTTCACAACAAGTCCTCCTTGTAGCATATGTTATCATTTAATTCCTCTTTCAACATGTAGACTCACTTGTTGTCTAGTGCTTGTTTATCATCTGTAACACCATTAAATCACAAGTTTGATTTAACTTCAAAGAATGCATTTTCTCATCCATGGCAAAGTCCCACTCCCTTGCATCTTCAACTTGAGTGGACTTCTTAAAGCACTCTAGTTCACTACTATGAGTTATCAACAAATAATGTAATAAGGGGGAGTACCTCTGTACCATTTGTATCACTTTGCTAGACCTCTTGAATTTAGTAGCAGATGACTGATGAACTTCATGTGCTTCATTTGGTTGAGTACTCCAGTATTTTCTATCTAAACCTACTTAGACTCTTCAGAAGTAATTGATATAAAAACTTGAATTCTACTCTTGTTTTTATACATCTCCATTTCATTGAAAGTGACATCCCCGCTAATGAATTTTTTTATTTTGATAGTCTCATTACTTGTATCCAAACTCAGCTATGCAATACCCAATAAAGGCATGCTTTAAAGATTTCAAATCAAACTTTATTTTAGACACTGTATGAACATGAACATGTGTTGAACACTCAAATTCTTTTAGACGAGATAGATTTTAATCATTGCTCTTTAAGCTTCTTTGGGTAAGTCTTCATTTGAGGATACTGATGGGCCACAATTAATCAGATAAACATTAATATTCACTGGTTCAACCCATAAATATTTAGGCAAGTTTGCATGCAACCTCATGCTCCAACATATTCCATGATTATTATGTTCTTGCGCTCTACTACTCCATTCTGTTGTGGGGTTCTTAGAATAGTGATCTCATGCCAGATCCCCTTTGAAGCACAGTAATTCCTAAACCTTTGATCATGATACTCACCCTCATTATTTGATCTAGGACACTTTAGCTTCAAGTATGACTCAATTTCTACCATATTCTTCTACTTTTTGAACACTTTAAATATGCAATTTTTTTAAGAAGTAAATTCATATCTTTTTGGTGTGATAATCGATAAATATCACAAAGTTGTGGGAACCTCCAATGGACTGAACTTGGAATTGAAGCGCTTGATAATAAGCTTAGACTAAAAGTTAATTATTTGTTTTCTTACATTAAATTTTAAAAAAAAATTGAAAAGGTATGGCTTTAAAACAGAGTAATAATTCACAATTCTTCTGTGTCTCAAGTTTTGATTTAACTGATAAAACAAACTCGACTTATATTTGATTTATACGATCACCTGAATTTTAATTAAGGGATAGTTTGAACTTCTAACATAAGAAGCACTAGAAAATGTGAATTCGTAAAAATCTTCGCTTAACCAGATACACCAATTCTTCCAAAAATTAAAAGAAAAAAATTCAAGGTGAGAAGATGCTTGAGGTTAAGTAAAGAAGGAAATTCACTTAGATTTTGTAGGAGTCATCTTAATATACAGAATTTAATCTCTGCCTTAATAAAATTCAGGGATCCCATAATTTTAGATAGAAATACAATTTACTTATTGCTTGAATGGAAGCTGGAGATCAGAAGAATTGGTAGGGATATGAGAAGGATTTTTGCCATACCTGATCAAGCGTGTAAAAAGATTTGTGTTAGGAAGGGAATAATTAAAGGAAAGTTGAATTTATTACCAAAGCACATTAAAACCTCAATAAGGCTAGGGATTGCATGGCCTTAACAAACTTGTACTCATGCTGACAAATGGCAAAGATACTATTTCCTTTCAAGTTTGAGTTTAGAAGGAAGATTACTTGGGGACAAGTAATAGACAAGTTTTGGAGATTTGATATAAGCAAAATATTTGATATTTTCTTGACATATTTTCCCATGTTTTTATATTTTTCTATACTAATATTATGCTTGAGAAATGTATTTTTGTCTTAGTTGTGCAAGTGACAGGTTGGACGTGATTTTTGAGTGACGAAGGGTGAAAATCAACATAAAAGGAGAATTTTTGTACCAGCACACTTGTGCCACCTTAAGACGCACCCAAGTTAACATAGCTCGCTCGCAACAAAAACGGGGTGCATCCGCACCCACGTAAAGCACTCTCACCCAGTTGCACTGCGCCCGCACGTGGCCAATCCCTGGACATCACACTCGAGTCGTCATAGCAGCACCTACGCGCCCACGCCAGATTCACGGTGCACACGTATCTGACTCGTTGGGCTTATTTTGGCAAGAAATTTATTGTCTTTGCTAAGCCGTGCATAAATATATCCTCATCAGGATGGTTTTAAGACATCTTAGGGGTTGATTTTCAACCTCTTGTTCTTTTGATTTCGTGAGAGAGCTTTGAGAGGAAAAATTCTGCTCTTGTGGAGAAGACAAGTTTTTATTGTAAGTTTAACATTTTTTTGTGTCTTGCAATGAAGATCTGTACAGTTTGTGTCTATGGTTTTCTTGACAATGTGAGGCTAAACTCCTTTTCATGTCTCTGTGATGTAGGGTTAGTGGTTTTATCGTGATTTTTCAATATCTTTTTCTTGTTTCATTTTTTCGTGCTTTTATAGTTTTACGTTGTTGGTTAACCTTCTGGATTTCGTTTACTCCCAGTTTGGCTAGTTAGGATGTTAAAATCTTTCGTAACTCTATGACTTCTAACCATTACATAGTGGAACGAAAAATGTTAACCATGGAATTCTAGGAGGATAGATATACTCCAGTAGGATTCTGCAACCTTTATCATTTATGAGGGATAGAAAAAATCTTGGGAAACGTCATGAGGTTAAACAAAACTTAACTTCGTGGGTTTCTAATTCCTTTTTTGACCTAGACATAAGCATAAGAAAAAACTTAACTTCGATTGACAACTATCACATAAGAAAACTTTAATGAACATCACGAAAAACCATGATACCTGAATCACAGAGGCACTAGCCTCATCACCCTTGAAGAACTTCCAAGATTTTCTCTGCTTTCTGTTTTTTGTTTTATGTTATCTGCGATCTGAATTATTTTCTGTAGAATTTTAGCATTTCAACATCTTTTGAGATCAGTCAAGTTATGTCCACAAGATTAGCAAACTAGAGATTCTTTGTTAGGAATAATTGTTAAAATCTTTCCATGTGAGATTGATACACGGACTCTTAGATTGTATATTACTTGACACATATACTTGCATTGTGCGTCCGACTTACTTCTCAGTAATTTTTGGCGCATCAATCATCGAATTTGATCCCTATATAATACAATTGGTTTGTTACAGTGTTGAAATTATTCAAATGTTTTGCCACTAAACTGTCTTCCACAATCTTCTTGTTGAATACCTCTTCATTAGAAAAATTTTATTTGAAACAGAAGGTTTTTCATACAACATTGTCAGTACTGCCATAAGATCAATTGTGGTTTTTTATTCACTGTATTGAATACAACAGACGAGAAAAGTGACAAATAGATCAAACCTAGGGCAGTTCGATCCAACACTTCCCAATCCTCTATAGTCGTCAATTCAAGCTTCTTGGTGATACTTTGTAGTGACAAATACATTTCTTTTCAAAACAATGAATCCCCCACTTATATACTCTGGAAAATAGCTCGATCTATTGAACTTCTGCACTTTGTACCTTGCTTCGTCGGCTATTATTCCCAGTCGAATCAAACGCCCCGCTCAAATGCCCCATGTTGCAATGGAATATACACTTTGGCTTCAATTAATTAGAAATCAAAACCACACTCATGGAATAGGATGACAACAATTCGATAAATCAGTAACAAATTTCGAATAGCACAATAAAAAGAATCTAAAAAAAAAAAAAAAAACATATCAAGATTTTTGTAGAAAAACTCAAAAAACGGGAAAACCCGACGGAGCCACACCACCAAGATATTTCACTATAAATGAGAGAAAACTACAAGTATACATACTTATATCAACTATCTGCAAATATAGAAACTTACAAAATTTCACTCCAACCTTTTCTCTCGGTTTCATAAGAAAAAAGCCTCGTTGAAATCATCATCTTCAACCCTTTTTCCGTGTCACAAAAGAACTTGTTGAGAAACACAACATGCAAGAGCTCGAATCCCGAATTTAAGAACTGGACCAATAGATAACCATTATGGCGGTGTAATCACGCTAGAAAGTGGCATAAATATTTTGTGTGCTCAGAATGAAGCAACCCAACCAACGGTGTGGTAATGCGTAGCTATGCCGTCCGAAGTAGCTACGTCCATTTCAGGCATAGACATTTGGCCTTGGGGGTGATTTGGGATCAGATTGTTTTTTCTACTTGTTTTTATTTTTATTTTATTTTTATTTTTATTTTTATTTGAAATAAACTATGATTATTTTCGGAAATATTGAAATCATCTTGAAGTGTTTTTTGATAGCTAAGTTTTGTTTCTAAACATTTAAAAAAAATAATATATACATATACATACTACTTCACCAGCGAGCTTATGCTAATTTAACCCTACTGGCTAAGCTGTGACTTTATTTCTTATACGTTTATATATTAAGGTATGTATGCATCCATTAATAATTTTAAATCTAAGTTCTGAAAACACAAGCTCAAATTGTTATGTAAATGAAATGCAAAGAATCTAATTTTTTTGCCAGCATAATTGGAATAGTTAGGTGGTAACTAGGGGTGTAAACGAAGCGAACACGAACGAACAGAGCTTGTGTTCGTGTTCGGTTTCTTTTGAAATTTAGTTTGTTTGAAATAAGCTCGTGCTCAAAATTGTTCGTGAAGTCACTGTTCATGTTCGTTTCTTAACGAACGAGCCGAGCACGAGCTGTTTGCGAACGACGAGCCAGTTTGACATCCCTACTATTAATATATATAAATAGTATATTATACTAATTATATAACTTATATTATATAAATATATAATATCTATATTATTATATTATTAATATAGTATATTAATATATTATTATTATTAATTTATTATATATTATAATTTATAAAATTTAATTTTTTAAAATATCATAAATTTTTTATGTATAATTATTTTAAATTATCTTATATTTCGAATAATAACGATTCGAATACGAACAGACACATCACTTTTCATGTTTGGTTCGTTTAACTAACTGAACGAAAAAAATTTGTTCACATTCATCTTGTTTATTTATCGAACCAATCGAACACGAACTCATTGATGAATCAAATAAGAACTGTTTGCGAACAACGAGCTTTTTTTGACAGCCCTACATGTAAAGCCCCCATTTTCTCCCTATATTATTGAGTTTATAGCTCGGACCGGGCTGAGCCGGCCTGCTTGGTTTTAAGGGTCCAAATAAGGCCCAAAAGAAAGGCTAATATGGTAATATAGATGGTTTGACATCAGGGTCTTATATATCGTGATTTGCTTTGCATGCCCTAAGATCGTCTCCGGTACCGCTTTCTCAGAGCGAGGAGGCTTCCTGATTCTGGTGCTGCTCGGATTTGAGGCAGAGTATCAAATCCTTCTCTTTTACGCCTCAGAGATTTTACTTTTGTTTAGATTTGCTTTTGTTATAGATTGATCTGATCAGACTAGTTTATTTTTTTCTCTAATTTTGAGAATTTATCAATTGTTCAGATCTGTGATTCAAGAGAACGAGTTGTATAGAAGCCATGGCTCTGGTGAGTTTCCCCTATGAGTTATTGTTTCATTAGAATTCTATCCCGTACATTTGAGAAGCTCCATATATATTTTTTTAATGTTCATGTATTAATCTTCTACATATCTCCCTTATTTGACTATTTGATTTTTTTTTTAGGTTTGATTCATTGTGATTTTATATTTTCGGGTAGAAAGGGAGGCAGTTTTTAGGTCCAAGTAGAACTTATTGTCTGTTGGTTTAATCTTGGAGGAACGACCAATTTCCTTTACTTGTTTTGTTTCCTTTACTTGTTTTGGTGAATTTTTGGTGAATTTTTTTTTTTTTGTTATGCCTGGTGCGTACTTATATAAGAATCGATATCTTATACAAACTGAATGAATTCTAATGATTTGATTTAATTCTTTGAGCGAAAATGAGGACGTTCAATGTCCCCTTTTTATTTTTTGTGAAATAATTGAAAGGGCCGTTGTGCTGAGTTATTGTCACAGTGATAAATTATTAGTAGGGAACAGAAATCATGGCGGAAGAGCATCAAAACTCTGGAAATGATAGAATAATGTAAGCTTCGGGAGGCCATTCGGCTTGTATGTGGGCCTTATATAACAAGGATTCAATCTTTCCTCTCCTTTTATAGTGGAGTTTTTATATTTATATGTATTCATTGTCTTGTTTCGTTTAAATGATTGTATGGTTATTGTGATCAAATTTTAAAGAGTTTAAATGATTGTGGTTATTGTGATCAAATTCATTGTCTTGTTTCGTCTAAACCCTAAGGCATGCCTCAAGGTATAAACATTGAATGCTTTTTTAAACAGCAATTGTGATAACTTTTCATAATAGGCTTTTTTCGAGAGTATGGGTCATTCTGAGGCAGTTTCAGCTTGTTAATAAGTTGTTGTGCAACAGCTGTGGCAGGAAGCTGCTGCGGATAAAATAGTTGTCTGTTTATTTTTTGCAGTTTGAAAACAGCTATGTTGCAACTATTTTTAGACAAATAATAATTCTTCCCATGTATTGTAATATTGTTTACAACAAAATTGTTCATTCTAATTCATTCCATACTTAAAAGCAAATATCTAGTTCGAATGTTATAAAATAAAAATAGACATCTCACTAAATAATAAGTAACACGACTATCAAAATAAAAAAAAATTACCAAAATAACAATTAATAATGTGATAATATTATTTTTAAAATACAGCAGACGTAGATCACGAGATAAGTTGTCCTTCAGAGAAACTCTCTATGCTTGATTACTTTCAACGTTGAAATCCTCTAACTCATCCGCTCTCCTGAAAAGTCACAAATGTTTTGTTTTTCTCCTTGGATGTCTGTAAACCTCTCCCGTGTCTTTGTGACTGTCGTGAAGTAAACTGAGAACATCGTAGTTTGCAGTAGCAGTGCATTCCTTAGAAGTGTCAGAAATCCTCGAGCTCATCTTTTCTAAGGACTTAAAATAGATGTCGTTAGATTTAACACTAGTAAAAATTAATAACATAAATAATTAATTAAAATTTTTTGAAGCTGTGAAATCTCAGAGAATTTAGTATACCAACAAATCTATCACTACAAAAAAACAATAAATATGATAAAAAAAAGTTCCTGGTTGCTTTTAACCACGTAATACCAAGTCCGTGTACGTCACATATGCATATCACCAAAGAAAGGTCATTCAGATGAACCTAAAAAATCATAAAACTGAAAAAGAAGAGGAACTTGATTATCTTCATTAGGTTTTCACATGCGACACCAACCAATAACATACAAATCATCCAGAAGAACTCATAAGGTCAAATGTCTCATTATAGACTTATAAAATCCACCGAAAAAAGATGCAATATTTAGGATACATATTATACTCATGATTGCCTCATCGCTTATCCAAGTGAAAAAAATGCATGAAAAATGAAAAATACATGTTAATTGCAAAAAAAATTGATACAATAAATATTAAAATATTTAAAAAATAGAAATGTACATGATTTATATAAAATATTGATACAATAAACAATGACTGTTACCAACAAACATTATAATTAATAAAAATAAAAACTAATGTTTTCTTCAATTACCCTCCACTTATAGCATCTGTAAATTTGTCCCTCAGCTCCATCATCTCGCATGCACTTTACCCATCTTGAATGCATGCATCGAGAATATTATTTTTGTCCTGTGATAAAGATTGTTCAAGACAATATTCATATGTCTAAGCAGGGATATGTGTTCGCTTTATAGAAATCAATTTCGTTGTGTGAAAGATGTCGAATATAAGTGTGGAGAGTCATTGTGATAATCACAATCTGCACATGTTTGAGAAACGTATAACTTGACATATTATGAAGTATAACTCATTTCTTATTACAAACTTCAAAATTTTTCTCAATGACGTCGTTTAAAGAGTTTCTTTTGTTGAACTTTTCTCTCCTGCCCCGCATGATATTGTCGGTTCTCTCGATGTTAGGTTTATGATATCTCGTATCAAGATAGGGCTTTAAATACCCTTGTTGCAAGAGATATCCAACATCGACCAAATTATATTTACATGATGTGAATAGAATGATTAGTGTTGAATTATAAAGAAGAAGGTGAGTAATTTAATCTCAAGTGAAAGTGTGGGTAGGTATGAGAAGTTTTATTTCTTATTCCGTGTTGCAAATTTGAAAATCTGACTGTCTTGTGCGCTGCTCTCTCAACCGGTCATGACAAAAGTGAAACACATGTTATGCGTCGGTGATCCGCACTTCTCAATGATTGTGAAATTTTCATTATTCGATACACGTGCTTCCACGTGTGTTCCATCGATTGCTCTAATACAATTTCAAAGATTAAAGAAGGTTGTGTATATTGTTGTATTCATGGTCTTCTGAATATAACGAAGAGAAAGAATTACCTTAAAATATTGCATATAATGTGGGCCATGTGCAATCTTTATGGGAGTTCTCTCAAATGTTGGGTCATCTGACTTGATAATTTTTTTATGACAAACTAACAAAAGCATTCAACCCAACTGAAAAGTATCTGCTGATTGTCTCCGATGAGTGTTAGAATCGCTTCATTGCTTCTCTTATAGATTAATTATGTGATAAAATGTAGAGGGTTATCGCTGGTGTCTCTAGAGATCATCTTGGAGGAGTTATAAAGTCTATGATTCCTGTATAATTCATCTAAAAGATCGATAAACACAGACTGTGTCATACAAAACATGTTGGTTGTCCTCCAAACAATTTCTCAACTCATTTATCATCAATGTAAGATGATGTCATGCAAGGAGACCGATCCTACAACTCATATATCAAAGATACCGCTACTACAATTCTTCTTCCGCGTCTCTCTCTCTGTGAATTCATGTTAGATAAATTCTCTATTCAGGTAACACATAAACATCATTAACAATCATAAATTAACAAGTTTGATGAAAAAAACAAATATCCAAAGTAGTATTAACAATGTTCCAAACATAAACAAGAAACATCCAAAGCAAAATCCAAATTAACCTAATGGAAAAAAAAATACAAATAGCCCAAAGACATAAATTCAAGCGTCTCTGTTGTCATAAAAATAATGTAATAGTTGACCCTACGGTCAGGGGTCATATTCATGAAGAACTTTACGAGTCTGATAACTTGTTGGATAGAAGTTTTTTGTGATGTCCCAAGGTCATTGGTGCATGAAGCCACTAGTTGTGAATTCTGGCTTCTAATGAAAGCAACCCATTTTTTTTTCTTTTTCTCCACCCTTAGGCGCTTTGCCCTACTAGTGGACTATTTCATTTTGGTTTGGGCTGGGACCTTTGTTGGAGTCAATTGTTCGTTCGGCATCCAAGTTCTCAGCCATGCTTGTAAACCCTCGCTCACTAGGGTCTATGCATTATTCCTCATTGCCGCAACCCCACCAAACATACGGTTCAACTTCTCTTTGAGCTCAGTGTCAATACTACTGAATTTTATTTTTTTGGCGGCTGATACTACCTGCAACATAAAGTGACATGGATATGTTGATATATTTCAGCAAAAAAAAATTCTATAGGTTTTAATCTATTTTCATATCCAATCTCTCATCCTACCATTATTGTGAAGCATCAATTGTTCACTTTACGGATTTCAATCCAAGCCCGTGGATCCACATTTCAATTCCTTTCAAAATTTTCAATCTTTTTTTAATTGATCACTTCCTTTCCCGTAATTTTCTTGAATTTTTTTATAATATTTTGTCAGTCCTCCTTGTTAAAATAGGTTGTGAGCCTATTTCCTGGCTCCACCTCCTTAAGGCAGAGATCACAAAATATTAATTTGTCTTTCTCATCCCACAAAACAGATGAACCAAGTTCTTTTTTCTTAATTTCTGAGTTACTAGCATAGAAAGGATTAAATAACATAAATATTTGACACAAGAAATAATTAACACAAGTAAAAATAAAGTTGTCGTATCTCACCATCGCCCCACACCAAACGCACTACCCCCACACCATTGCCCCCACACCAAACACCATTGCCCCCACACCAAACACCATCCCCACGCCACACACCATCCCCACGCCACACACCATCCACACACCAAACACCGAATTGTCCCAATAATTCATGTGCTGTGTTTGTAAATTTCTTTGAACTTTAAAGGATAATCCTGAGATAGCTAGGTAAATATCCCAAAACTTTTTTTTATGTGTTATAGGCCTTATTTTTCACTCAAATAATCAAATCATTCAAAGTTTATCTTCCCAAAAAATTGTATTAGCAAAATTTCATCCAACAAGATCCATTTACATACTCAACACGCAATTCAAATGAATTTACATCTCACACAATAACTTCAATATCTATGCACACAACACTCAAACGTGTAAAACGACATCAAAATGAATTCCATTACAATATCCTAAACATAAAGAAATCTTGGTGAAGCAGTGAAAAACACACGAGTATGGCTACCATCATTCTTCAAACTTCTAATTATGGATGCAAATGCCATGAATGCAAACACATAAGAATTGTGTGTTGGATTTGTAAATTTCTCTAAACAATATAGAAAAAGGAGCACCTGAAACATTGTTGATAAAACCAGCTTGCATCTTAAATTCTCAATCCATATTCATAAAATGCACGTCGCCTTAAACATTGTTGTTAACAAATATAACATCAGCTATCATTCTTTTCTCAATATTTTCACTGAAATATCAAAATTTTTAATGAAATTTCAATCCATATTAATGAAATACGCATTAGCCGAAAGATTGTTATTTATACATCGATCCAAGCATTTCTCAAATTCGCACTCATATATCACAAATCAACGTAGGAAGATGGAAGCAAAAATGTCAAAACCTTTAGGGTGATAGGTATGTAATCCTACAAAAAAAGAACAAAATTAATGTAGGAACCAACGCTATTATGCATCAACCAAAGATCACAAAACGATTGAAATCACAAAGCACATAAAAAAAATTGAGGTTGTAGCCACCGAGAATATAGAAAAAAGGAAGGCACACCCAAAAAAATTTTCTCTGTGCAAACCATATGACTTATAGAGCAAATCCATGAAGAAGATATGAGGGGGAGAGGATACCGGAGAAAGAAGGAAGCAAATGCTGGCAAAAACCCTATCCATATGTGTCGGCAAGCAAAGAGGAGTAGAAAAAAATTCCTAGGCAGATTGCTTGCGGAGCGAGGTCAAGCGGGAGGGAGGGCGCGATAGTAAAGAATGCTAAATAACGCAAAAGAAGCCGAGACGGGATTGTGGTGCGACTTATCGGGTGCGTTTAATAAAATGTGCTCGCTCTGCAAAAACCAAACAAACTGAACTGCGGGAGTGGGCCATGCTGCAGCTTATTCTAATAAGCTGCGCCAAACACACCCTATATCCTACAAATTGGTGCACCGGTTTGCTGCTTTGGTTGGTCCTGGGTATTCTATATGTGGCTTTCTTGCAAATATTTAGTTGATATGAGGGTTGTGAAATCATTGCTGCTTAGTAGTTTTAGTTATGAAGATATATTTTGCATATATTATACGTCTTAACTTTCTGATATGTTTTTGACTTTCTGTTTATAGATTCTTCATTCTGGCTTGAAAAACAAAAATTCTTTCAAGACCCTCATTGCTGCAGAATACAGTGGAATTGAGGTTGAACTCGTTAAGAATTTTCAGATGGGTGTTTCAAATAAAAGTCCTGAATTTCTTAAAATGAATCCACTAGGGAAGGTAACTTTGGAAGATGAGTGTTTCTATATAAATCTTTTATGGAATTAAATCCAAATTTATTTGAATGATGTGTGCTGATGTAGGTTCCTGTATTAGAGACCCCTGACGGAGCTGTCTTTGAGAGCAATGCTATTGCACGTTATGGTATTTTTTTTATTTTCTTTTGTGAATTATGAGTTGTAAGGCACAAATTTGATGTTTGCGGGATTTGAACGCAATTTTCAAGATCTTTATCAACTAAGCTGGCAGACTCTGAATGATGTATATAGACTACTCCATTGAATTTAAAACTTACAACTTGACTCCATTTGTTTGTAGTTACGCGGTTGAAAGCTGACAATCCTCTTTATGGTTCTTCACCGATTGAATATGTAATGATCTTTTTCTCCTTGTTTCTTCTTTTAGGTAAAATGTATATTTTATACTATTCTTATGTACTTTCTTAGGCTCAAATTGAGCAATGGATTGATTTCTCAACAAATGAAATTGATGCAAATATTTTCCGTTGGCTTTCTCCTAGAATGGGAATTGCACCTTACAATGCCCAGGTTAATTTGCCTTATTTTATTTTATTTATTTAAATTTAACATATAATATCACTGCTAAATACTCTCCTTTCATCTTATTATTGCATTATAATTCTACAGGTGGAGGAGTTTGCCATTTCTTCTTTGAAGAGGGGATTGGAAGCTTTGAGCACTCACCTTGCTAAAAATACTTACTTGGTTGGACACAGTGTGACATTAGCCGATATTATATTGGGTTGCAACTTATACATCGGGTTTACTCGAATATTGACTAAGAGTTTTACCTCAGAATTCCCTCATGTAGAGAGATACTTTTGGACAATCGTTAACCAGCCTAATTTCCACAAGATCATCGGTGAGGTTAATCAGGCCGAATCCATTCCACCAATTGCTTCAAAGAAGCCGGCCCAACCAAAGGAAACAGCGAAACCCAAGGAAACAGTGAAACCCAAGGAAGCAAAGAAAGAAGACAAGAAAGAAGCTAAGAAAGAAGAGCCAAAGCCGAAAGCAGAAGAGCCCGCGGAGGAGGAGGAGGCTCCAAAGCCCAAACCAAAGAACCCACTCGATCTTTTGCCTCCAAGTAAAATGATATTGGATGAATGGAAGAGGCTTTATTCAAATACGAAAACTAATTTCCACGAGGTTGCCATCAAAGGTTAGTTTATCTTATTTGTGTTTATTAGGGGTGCTAAAAATTATTCCAACACGTCAACTTAACCCGAACCCGACTCAGAAAATCCGGTTTTGAATTTATCCGAAAAATTTACTTGTTTAATTTTTTGGGTAGAATTTAGTTCCATTAACCCGAATTTGACTTAAATTTGACGCAAATAGCCGTTGTGCCTTATGTTAAATGAGTTGTATGGGTCTGGTTCGATCAGCTAGTTGGATTCTGATTGGATTTTCTGACCCTTTTATTATTTGGGTCAGGTTATGATTAAGCAGTTTAAGGTCTGGTCAAATTTGTGTAAAACTCAAACCTGACTTACGAACCCCTATTTGACACCCCTAGTATTTATGTTTGTTATGAAACACTTTCATCTTTTGTTTCATGTTGATTTCATTTGGTCGGTTAGGTTTTTGGGATATGTATGACCCCGAGGGATACTCACTATGGTTCTGTGAGTATAAGTACAACGATGAGAACACGGTTTCGTTTGTGACCTTGAACAAGGTGGGCGGCTTTCTCCAACGAATGGATCTTGCGCGAAAGTATGCTTTTGGTAAGATGCTTGTGATCGGGTCTGATGCACCGTACAAGGTGAAGGGTCTTTGGCTGTTCCGAGGAAAGGAGATTCCTCAGTTCGTACTTGATGAATGCTATGATATGGAGCTCTACGAGTGGACGAAGGTGGATATTAACGATGAAGCTCAGAAGGAGCGTGTCAATGCCCTTATTGAGGATCAGGAGCCCTTTGAAGGGGAGGCTCTATTGGATGCCAAGTGTTTCAAGTAAAAACTTCAGATGGCATGCGGTGAACTTTTAAGAACTCTCAAGTCTTCCATCCTAATACATTTTTGTCTGTTGATCAAGTTTTGCTTAAACTATTGATGTTATTTTAATGAACTTATCCTCTGTTGTTGTGTTAATTTTAAAATGTTTTAACTTGAAAGAGTTTGCCATATTCAACATTTGTTGTGTTTTTTGAAGTGGATAAGATTGAAGCCAAGGTTTCAGTTTGTGAAAGGATGCATCTGTGGTCTTCTGATTCTTATTTTTAAGGTGTATTTTTAGGAAGATGGAGCCTTTAGTTTCCTAACTAATGATCAAATATTGAACTGGAATGCTGCCAAATTTTAAGGCACATGTTTTAAGAATTGCTATTTATTCATGGGATCTTTAGACTAGTTTCTTTTGTGTGAATTGGTTTAAATAATATTCCTGACAGAAATAGAAAGAGAAAGTTTTTTTTTTTTCTTTTATTTATTTTATTTTAATTTGAATTCTAGTGTTCTTAAGATCAGAAGTGAGTTTTAATTCTGAGGGTTAGAAAGCTGCATTGTAATTTTTAACATATTTAGTAAATATGAAATTAATGCCATTCAATGGTTCTTTGTAATATATATATCCTAAATTAGCCATCACACTAAGCATGTAGTTCCAAACAATTTGATCGTGACTAGAGGTTTTATGAATACAATGTTTGTTTTATCTGTAAAGGTTCATCTCGTGCCATAACAACCGCACGAATGACACAACATTATCTTTGTGAACTTAATATAGAGTATTTAATAAGTTATTTGTTGACAATAAATAAATTTGTTTTGTTAACATAAATAAACGAGCTGGCCGTGTTTAAATTTGATTCATTTAACCTTCCAAATTTTAAAAATGTCCAATCTTATTTATTTAATGATTTGAATCAGCTTAATCTAGTATCAATCTAGCTAAGTTTGTTTTGTTCATTGAGTCAATGGATGGGTGACCTTGAATTGTCAATTGTTAGATGATTGAGTTAGTAGAGAAAATTCCTAGCTGCATCTTCCCTATTGAGTCAGCCATCTACATGATAACTATCTAGTATGATACATTAGATATAACATCTATAAGAATAGAATGCTTCATCCATATATTTTAGAAGAACACAATTAAACATCAAAAACAAAGTTTCAATTGAAATAAATTTGGAGATATTTAATTCCTTTCGTCTCCCATCTCGTCTGTTCCCTTCCTCAATTTCAAGCATTTCTTTTCTACATTTGTTTGATGGCTATTTGGAGATGGTAAAAGTGTTAGGATAGCTAAGGCTAGTAATACCATGAGTTGATGAGAGCTGGTAATTTGGTTGTGTCAAAAGGATCGAGGTCTATAAATAGTTCTATGAGGAAAATGGTGGGAAGGGTTAGTACAAATAATATGGAGTGTTATGTTCAATTGACATGAATGGGCAGACTTATGGACTACAAATTAGTCATATCATATAGGAGTGTTAAATTGGGTTTATAGGTTGGATTCAAGTCAAAAAGGTTCAAATTTGGGCCGAAATTAAATGGGTCAGAAAGTCTAACTTGAATTAGGTTTGCTTTCAAACTGACACGAAACTAACTGTATAACCCAATAAATATATGTATAATAATTATTTGGGTTAATTTTAAGTCAGATTCGGGGCAATTATTTCAGTTTGAAATGTAAGTTTCAAGTTAATTTTAGATTGGTGGGTCAACCCAAGCTTGATAAAAAAAAATTAAATTTGTTGAAATTATTAAACCCGAAACCGACCCAAAAATTAATTGAGTCAACCCGAACCCAAAAATTGTAAATTGGGATCGAGTCGAGCTGACATGTCAAGTTATTTTTGACACCCCTTATATATAATGGGTGATAGTAATGCTGATGATGGAGAGGAGGACATGATGGAGTGTAGGTGGGGGTTATATTTTGGTAATATTAGTGAGCGTTGTCATAAATCTTCTAATAGCATTCATATTTATATTGCACACATATACACAAATGAACACACGTATAAATACGATCAACGGTATATTTCTCTACAATTTCATTAACGACATCAAAGTCACCCTCAACATCATGTAAACTAGTCAATGGGGTTGTATGAATAACAAATTGCATTATTATGACCTCCATTTTTATTAATAAGCGACCTTTAATCTTTGTCTATCATTTATCTAGCAGGCTTAGTTGTAATCACTATTAACAAGTCTATTTTATCTTTTAATCTTAGAAGATACTTGGTAAAGTACACTTGAATCATTCATTATGCGAGAATAAAAGGATTAAATTGTATGTATGCCCCCCTTGATAATATCTTATTATTGTTATATTGTTTATGTGCTCTTGTGACTTAATTAGGTGAAAGGTATGGCCAATCATAGCTTAAGACAAATTTTTGACATGCTCTTCAGGATACTATATATATATATTTAAAGGAAATCAATATTTAGCAAGACACAAATATTGATTTCTCATGTGTTTTTTGGTTCTATAATGAGAGCCCAAACCATTTGCCTAAAATTCCAGAGCCTCCGCGCCACAGTGATATCGAACCATTGACCTGAAAGGACTTACAGTGACCCCGCCACCAAAATGTCAAAGCTTGCGATGCACACACACACACACATATATATATATATGTATTCGTGTTATCGATGGCTTGTTGGTTGGTACCTTCGGCGTAATTCCTCTTTTGTCGTGAGTTCGAATTCATATAAGTAGAATTAGCACATATGAGACGGACAGACACATGCTACCATCAATTTTTTAATATATATATATATATATATATAGAGAGAGAGAGAGAGAGAGAGAGAGAGAATCCAGAGGAAATTTTTTATATCACACAAAAAGAAATTAGTATATATATAAGAGCGAATTTTATATATCACAATTTCATATCACTCCATAAGTGCAGCTTTCTTTAATTCAGTTGCATTGTATATGTGGCTAGAAGTAGTAAGAATAAAAAATGAGTGATTTATTTGGAAAATAGAGCCTTATTTATATACATTTTTTACTATTCTTTTAATTTTATTTAGAATATACAGACATGTTTGAAAATATTAGGTTCAAGTTAATGTTTTCTTAATTTATTTTTCAAATAAGTACCATACATGATGTCATCTATTGCCTCATACAACAACTATATGATTGCTTCATTAAGAGTTCGTTTGCTAAGAGTTCTTTTGCGGCAGCTTGTGCGTTTCAGGATAAGCTGCTTATCCTGAAACGCGGTCCGCAGGCCGACTGCAGGGGTTGACCCGCGACCTGCGTTTAGTGTAAAAACTCAAATACAGTTTCGGATAAGCTGGTGAAACACGCGAACCAAACAGAACGGCGCCTACACTTATAAGCTGCCCCTAACAGACCCTAATTTAACAATGTCTTAAGTTTGTGAACGTTTGTAGCATAGTTTGAGCTATTGACTATCATGATAACTCAGAAACAAGACCTAGTGTAACAAGTCATATTAGGACTATTCAGTAGCAAACTTATTTACTCAACATCTATTCGAAAATAATTCTTTTTGTATCATCTCAATTTCATAATACTAAATCATTAAATTAATAATCTTGATGTTTCAACAAATTCAATAAAACACATATGAAAATAACTCTGTGATTATACAAACATATAATTAACTTCAATCCATGTAATTAAAATGCTATTTAAGTTAATTATATCGTGAATAATTAAATGAATGGTATTGGATTGTGATGCCACCTCTTGTCTAGTACAACAACCATGTAAGTGCTTCATTAACTTAACAATCGTAAATTTATTAAAGTTTATGACATGTAGTTTGAACTATTAACTATCATGACATAACCTAATGTAACAATCATATATTGTAACAAGTCTTAAAACATTGATTGTGCATTGAAAATTTATGCAATTTTTATTTGAAATAACTTTTTTTATATCATCCTAATTTTATCACAATTACCAAATCATGATTAAAATATTAACATAACAAAAATTATCATCTCACATTTATATACGCTATAGCTTTTTACATTTTAAAACTTATACATAATAACCACAATGTTGCGATAAAACTAATAGAATACTTCATGATTCCTAATTATAGAGGAACACGACTACAAACAACGAAAAGAGTGCACTTATTAACAAAAATATCGATCTCATTTCATTATTGTCTTACAATTTTATAAAAATATATGATATAGGGGTGGGTAAATAGATTAGTAAATTAGATGAAACCTACAATTATATTTTGATGCAAGTAAATTGATATGTAAGCTGACAATTATTATATCATATACAAAACACAAATATATTTAAAATATATCATCTCAAAGTCATTATAAGGGGCATATTATCATCTCAGAAGTAGTTTGTACGACTCATTTTATCATGTTTAGTACTATAAGAGACATTTACCATCAATTATGTATTAAGAAAGTCAAGTATCAAGCTTATTATATTATATAATATTTTATTTGTATCAATTATAACAAGTTTTCAATTGTAAACTAACCCTCTGGTAGGGTTAATTATGGTGCGATAGAGGCTGACAATTTGTACAGTCATCTTGACTTTTACAATCGGGACCTAGTGGGTGATGCATTTGTTTAACTGGATCGCCGCAACAAGCGTGATACATTGCATTTCAAATACATACTCAGAAGCATGAAAATCTATCATCCAAAATATATAAAATATACAGAGATCCTAGATCCAGTATAATAAAAGTACGTACATAAAACATATGTACGAGATCCCAAAACTATCGTGTAATAGCTGAACAAAAAGACATATGGTTACTCGCTCCGGTGCTCTTTGCCCATATATAGAAGGAAATAACGAAGAATGAGCAACAACGAGCTCGAAGAAATAATTAGGGCTAACATAAAATTTATATATGGAAAAGAAACAACGTTCTTATTCGTAGAAAATTGTGCATGTCTACACACAAATAATAATATGCTAGCATGGTGGAGAACATGAAAGTAGAGCGGATACAAGTAGTATAAAAATCAAGACTGTAGTGTAACATGTAGGTCGTAAGCATGAAAACAAAAATATAATAAAAAACATGTTCATGAGCATGTTCATTCATTTCTTAGAGGTCATATCATAATAATGTCATTTTTTTCATGCATACAGTTCAACTATTTTTATGTTCTTTCATCACGTGTAGTCACCCTGCCCCAAAAATAATATAAATTATTGATAAAGAATGAGATTCCTCCAACATAGCAGTTATCAACAACCCTCTTGATACCCACGGTTCTTTAACGTCCAATCACCGTATAATTCCAACGATTTCCAGAGTTTCGTCCCAGTATAAATAACAGTAGTTAGGAATACTACATCCCTGCATAATATATTTGCAAGCACTCATATAATAGTGCACCCATAACATTATTCATGATATTTATATCACCACTCCTACATCAAGCATTTATAAGACATTACATGTATCATAGTCAAATGCATGAAGCATAATAAATGAATACTTGCAAGAAATTCATATCATATGCATAATCATATGTAGCGTTGTCTAATCATAATGTTACATATATCATAAAAAATTCTAAATGCATTTATGTCAAAATAAACTTATAAAATATTATTCATCTTAAATTAGCACAATATTATTTCACTTATTTTGACGGAGCGATCCTACGATGAATTTCCCAATCTCGTATTGAGCTCGCTTTAAACCTTTAGGATTTCATGAATTCTTAGTTTATATCATGATTTAACCCTAAATATAATTTATTTGTGAAATCTTCCTAAAAAGAGAATTTCCTTGCATTACCTCCTCCCCATTACCATCTCTTATTCCCTTCAAACTTAACCATCAAATAAAACTCACCCTCAAATAAAACAAAAACATCAATCAAGCTTCATAAGAAGCTGAAAGAAATACAATACTGCCGAAGTACTCACCCTAAACCATCATTAATACTAATTTTCTCTTAAAATTGCCTTTACAAGAATAGTAATTCTCTACTCATACCATTGTTCATGACTAAGAAAAATAAATGAAATTCCTTAATTAATGTAATCAATTCCAAATCTACAAGCATAATAACCTTTCTTTCAAATACCTTAATCAGCTTAAGGCTGCAGTCATTCCTTCCCCAAAAGGCCAAACCGCAAGCAGAAGCTTATCTGCAGTACTCAAGACAGAAGCTTACCTGCAAGCTATTACCTTACTTCTGCCTCTCCAGCACTCAATTCGCATGGAAGTTTGTCTAGCCTGGGAGTAGCAACAGGAACGGAAGAGGGAAATGCTGAATAGGGACTGATTAAGGCTTATCCCCATCATAATAATATATTTATATATGTATAGATTTATATGAATTTATCTCAACTATTGAAATCACCCTCAACCATTACATGTACAATTTAGTGCATTTCTCTGAACTGTTACAGTGAAATAATTAATTATGTTAATTTTGAAAATAATTAATTGTAAATTGAGTGTTATTTTAAATTTTATATTTCCCAGCATATCCACAATATATATATATATATATATATATATATATATATATCATAAGTAATATTACTGATAGGACTTAACATTCAACACAACATCTCATTTTGAATAGACATGAAATTAAAGTAAACTTGAAAAGTTGAGGTTTTATATAAGGAATCAATATGATCAATCTAATATGCTAATGGTAATAAGGAAGCTATAATAAGCTTAAATCTCAATTATTCTGAAAATATATCGTGCTTCAAATTAATCAAAATTTTTAATAATTTATTAATGTTAAATTATAGCATCTAAAACATAGAAGATATATGTAAAAAAAATCAATATCATTATGTCAACATATTACAAAATAATTAACATAATAACATATTAAAATTTATAAGTTAAAAATGTTCAAATATGAAGATATTTTTGTTTTGATGAAATATGTTCATATAAATTATATGAAATAGCATAAAAAATAATCTTTGAAAATTATAGTAGGGTAACTCTGATTCACCTCAGACCAAATAAGTTTTTCAGCTTACCTACCTTTTTAAAACATCATGAGGAGCTTCAAATCTTAGTTATTTTCTATTTCTCACTCTATTTCACTTACATTCTCTCTAAATCTATTATGGTTGATGAAGGAAGGAATTAACTTAAATTAAAAGTTTTGAATAGTAATTAATTTTTTTATGAAAAAAATAAAGTTAAGGTTATATTTGTATATTCTCTTATATCTTAAAATTTAGAGGTTTAAAATTTATTAACAAATAATTATAAAATAATTCATCATATCTAAAATTCTCTAGTGAAAACTATTCAAAAAATGAATTTTAAATGATTCCAAAAAACCTACTTACTTCAACATATATCAATTTATTTGAAGGGTTTTGGTTATATTCATAATTTTGAAGAGTTTTGGTTATATGAACAACGTCCCATTCATCATATTTTTACCGAAAACGTGTGATTATGTATATAAATTCAAAACAAACAAGAATGAGAAAATACTATTGTTTCTTTCTGTATATAATTGAAACTAGATGTATCATAATCTCATCGCTATAAATAGAATATCGTTTTTGAATTCTCATTACATGTACCTAACTTTTTCTTGCATATTACTTCTCTTTCAAACTCACAAGTTCATTAGACTTTTATTGTTTGAATTTACTTGTTTCTCAACTGTTTCTTATCTTAAGCCATAATATAATTAGATTCTTTTTTTTTGTAAATCTTAGTAATAATTCTTCTGTTGTATTTGAAACTCTATTGGGTGCATCTAACATCTTTTTTCTTGGTAAAGAAACATGAACACATTACAAATATAAAAAAATCTAATTGCAAACTTTCAACTTCTAGCTATGACTTAAATGACCCAATGTACATGGAGGCATACATTTCTCATGTCACATAAAAGTGAGATGGATAAAATTATTAGACAGTTTGATGCTAATGATCTTTTTGTAAATGTTGAGAACACAATAGCTTCAATGAAAAACTTTACTTCAATAAAAAAAAACATTATGTAAGTTCATGACTAACTTTAAAGGTGTGAGATTGGAGGAAAAACTTGAATAATATTAGATTAAATTTTTGGCATTTTGTAGTGATATAAATGAGTACCCTGCATTATGCTTGGTTAAAGAATGTTGAAATAAGAGAGAATAACTTCTTCAATATGAAATGGCTGGACCAGAAATCTACTTTTATTGTGATTACTTTCAACTATATCAAAGTTTTAACATATTATGTTATAATTATGATGATTGCATTCTACTATCTCAAAGTTATAAGTCGTACTATCATCGTTGTGATTGCATTCAATGTATCAAATTTATAGTTTATTATGTTATGATTGTTGTGATTGCACTCTACTATATTAAATTTATAACTTATCGTGTTATAGTTAGTTTGAATCCTTTCCAACTCCCTTGAATAGGGCTAACATTCGAATCATTTTCAAACATTTGTGCAAATTTTGCTTGATTAAGTTAGAAGTTCCAAGGAACATTTTTGAAATGTTCGTTCCTTCGTTTGAAACACCTCGAACTAGGTTCTAATGCAATCAAATATGAACCAACTTTATTAGTGAAGGTACTTTAATAACTTGTTGCGAATAATAAAGTGAACATTTTGATTTGAAATGAACTTAAAAAAGAAAGTAGGCTAAGAACTTGGCCAATGACAATTTTTTGATATGCTTGCCTATAAACAAAAAATAAAAAAATCTAAAGAAAGGCTAAACGGCAATCGTACGGGCTGAAGACAGATGGCCCATTATTATTTTTATTCATTAGAAGCACTTAGGGGCTCGGTTAGAGCGAACCAATCTGCCCTAATCAGGCGCAAAGGTTGCATAACCTAAGCGAATCTATCTGGATTCTTGAGTGGCACCGGCGAAACCCGCAAGCTTTTCAATTGTGTTAGCTTAGGGGGCGGCACTCCCCTTCGGATCCATTAGCTCTCTCTCTCTCGGCAAGCTCCCATCGCCGCACCGCCGCCGCTGGCATGCCGGAGCAATGGGAGAAGAACGATCCCTCGGCTTCTGTCGATGGTATCGATTCGCCTGTGGAGGATCAGGAAGAGTTCGAAGTTGAAGAGGAGGAAGTAGAGATGGAAGAGGAGGAGGAGGAGGAGGAGGAGGGCGGCGAAGAAGAAGAAGAAGAGGAAGAAGAGGAAGAAGAGGGCTCAGAAGGCAAAGAAAAAGAGGACGTTGAAGTGGAAGAGGAGGAGGGCGAAGAGGAAGATATGGAAGAAGTTGAAGAGGAGGAGGGAGATGAGGCCGGGGAAAATGATGGTGAAGAAGTTGAGGAGTTGGGGGAGGATGGTGTAGATCGAGAGCAAGAGGAGATCGATGAGTTTGAGGAGGGAGAGGGGGAGGGAGAGGAGGAGGGTGAAGAAAATGAGGAGCAAGAACCTGAAGAGGTGGAAGAGGGAGGAGGAGGGGGAGCAGGAGGAGGAGGTGGCGGTGATGGTGGAGGAACGAGAAGGTGGGGCGGAAGTGGTCGAGGAGGAAGAAATGGTAATGGAAGATGAGAGTATGGGGAAAGGAGAGGAAGAGACTGGCGTCATTTCTGCAGATACTGCAAGTGCTATGCCAGAGGATGCTGAGGGTTTGCCCTTTTCTGCTTTTATTTATATTTTCAACTGTTTCTAATATTCGTTCTTCCCTTCCATCCTTGCTGCATTAGCATTTGTTTTTGTTCTTAAGAGGTTGATGTAGAAGTCCGCATGCTTAAAAATTGACTATCGACAATTGTGGGAGGGTTGGAGGATATAAACAACTAGCATTTATTAGGGTTGATAATGCAGCTGAATCGCTGGACTCAAGTTGTTATTAATTTTTTAGACTGACACGCAGTGACTTTGATTCCACTTTGAGAATGGGGCCTTTGACACTAATGCAATTTAGGTATTTTATGTTTGGTAATTAATCTTGGCTGAATGGGTTTTCTGATATTAATTCTAAAATTGCTTAGAAAGGAAATTAAAACATATATAGTTCTAATCAGCATATATTTACTAAAATAAATTACATGTTACAAAAATGAAGAAAATATTTAAATAATAGAGGCTTAGAATTAATAGACTTAAGATTGAGTATATGTCATGCAATTTTAATGAATTTAATATTCAAATGTATTATTTTTTGCTATTAGAACTTGAAGTGATACGTGAGCGTGATAGGTTTAAGTATCTTGATTCTATTAGACCGAATAATGTGGATATATATGGTGATTTAACTTATACAAATTAGGGTTAGTGTGTTAAATTAGAGAGACACCATAGGAATATTATGCTATGAGAGATATCTTATAAACCTAAAAATTGGCCATGCATTATGGATTTCAATGTTTCACAGTAAAAATATTTGTTGATAATTAAGTTGAGCATGTTATTATAACATCATTATGGATGTGTGCACCATTAGAAAGGACACATTTAAAAAAAAATGCTTATTTTAGAGAGATGGTTGAAGTGCATCTATCGATTAATATGGTTGAGAAGAAATTTATATGGTGTGAACATATACAATGAAGACCATAAAGTACACTAATTTGACGGATTGATAAAATTAGTGTCAAAGGATTTGGAAGGATAATGGGTAGACCGAAGGTAACATAGGTGAAAGCTGTTTAAAATAGTTTAATCGCTTCATTTGTGCTGCCTACTCTTTTGTTACAAGTTTCACATGCTTAATGATTGGATAATGATGTTTATCCTCATCTTTATTCTTACGTTTGCTTCTCTTCTTCCTCTTTTGTTTCCTCTATCTTGATATTTTGTATTCCAGTGCCTAGATGCTTACATTACACTTTCTATCATTGTTTATATTACCATGCTATGGATAATAGTGGGAGGAATGATGAAGATTTTGAGGCATGATATCAACAACTTCTTCATTTTCCTTCTTTATTTTTTATAATTTTATCATTGGCCTTTTTTGTTGAACTCTTTTACCTCAGATGTTAAATAACTATTATTTAGAATGTTTATTCTTATCATGTTTAGCTGTTTATTTTTGTTAGGTAAGCCATGATAAGCTTAGCATATTTAAGCAGTAAACTTTTGAAGCTTAAACTGTAAGTTGTCTTAAGCTGTTTGGTGTTTTTTATTTTTTATTTTTTTAGCTTTATGCTTGAATTGTATAATGGAGTTTTTGTGACTTAGAAAACAAGGAAACGTTTTGACAACACTTCTCATGTCTATGTTACCTTGCCATAGATACAATAAGTGTTAAACCAAGCATTCCAAAAGTTTGGACACAAATTGTTAAATATAGAAGAAGATGGGAGTGGAAAAGGCAATCTGGACCAATATGGAAACTCAAATCCAACTCCTAGCCATAGATAACCTTTGAGGACAACACTAACAATTGAAGTTGAATCATGGGTGGGCGGTAGAGCAAAGTTTGTTGAGGTTTAGGGAGGAGAAGAAGCAGAGCGATTACTATGGAAGGGAGAAGATGAATAGCCTAGGCTTTAGAATGTGAATAGATCGCAGTAGGAAGACTTTGTACCGTGCTAAGTGTGGTCGAAAGAGGTCTTTGCATATCTTCACTTTTCTTCTTGAGCATACACAAGCCATGCTTGGCTTAACTCGGTTTAAGAAAATACACAAATTTGTTCTTCACCTTTCTTTTTTATCTTCACTTTTCTTTTTGAGCATGCACAAGCCATGCTTGGCTTAACTTGGTTTAAGGAAGTACACAAATTTTTTCTTCACAGAGAAATTAGACTTTAGCTTAGTCAAGCTGGCTGACAAGCCTAAACCAAACTCCAATAAGTTCAAGCATCTATTAAATGAAAGTTGACAGAAATAAATAGGGTTGTAAAACACGATATTCATATTGCTTTCAATAGCATGATAATTGTGTTGAAAAATAATATTACAACTAGTATACCATGATGTATATTTTATTCAGTGCTTTATGCATTCAACTTTAAATAAGAAATTTAAAAATCCTCAAACTAAGCTAAAAAATACCAAATGGCTTGACAATAGGATTTTTTTTTTCCTGCATATTGCTTTCAATAGCATGATGATTGTGTTGAAAAATACTATTAAAACTAGTATAATATGATTCCCCGAACTGTGCTAACAAATACAAATGGCTAAATACGATTCCTTTGTTCTGCATACAAAGGAGAAGGCTTTAGACAGTTAGCTAGTTGTCAACGCTTGCTTGGCATCTAAGACCCATCCTAATACAAATGAGATAGCCAAGGCATTGTTGCTATTTCGTGATGGAAAGGAAGGATTGGCCATTTCAGCTGACCAAGGTGCTTTTTTGGTGTCCAATATTTTCTTTTCATTGGGTTATTGTTTGAATCAAGCAAGGTCATTGGAAGGAGTTCTTCCCACTTAACTTGTAGGATGTAATTTGAAGTGGTGTGTGCTTTATAAAGCTTATTAGAATGATGGTATGACTTGGTAGTGAGGAGGGAGGACCCATATTCTCTCCTATTTTAGATCCGTCTAGGGACTTCTTGTAGTTATCGGTATCATTATGGTAATATCAGTTTATGATACGATGAAGAAAGAAATAGATGAGAGACAGGGATGATAAAAATTAGGGCCCATGTATAGCGGTTTACAATATATAAAAATAAATAATAAATTGGGAATGTTCTAGTAAGAAAAGAAATACAAATAATAAAACATAGTTTTGCTTTAAAACCTACTAAATTTTTTTTTCTATATTATTAGTCAGTACATAATTGTAACCTACCAAATCTGTCAAGAAATACTGGCCTCGCAAGCATTTGATCCTTGTCAAGTCACCAATCCTTTGTTGCTGTTCAGGAATTTACTCAACAAGGAATGCTTTTTGCTGCCGTTCTTCAATGCAGTGATTTTCCTGCTTTCTAAGTTGCAGGCCAGCTGCTGTTGTATGGAATTCTGCCATTGAGGCGTACCTATCAGCTCACTTGCCTAGAAAGGATGATGGACCGTCGACCCACATGACTCCAAATAGGAAAACAAATTTTCTCTTCTTCAGACAGGGCTTTTCTTATTATTCTGTAAAGGCTTTTGACTCACGCTCATTTTTGTGTTTCATCTAAGAAATGTGCTACCGACTGTATCACAAAATTAGAGATCTGATGTGATTTGAACTTCACATGACTATTGTTACTATTTTGAGAATAGTTATGTCATGTAAGCAGTTAAATTTTCCATCTCCATGATGGAACATGTACACCTATACAATATGTCACTGTCCTAGCTACTTCGTCTAGAATTTAAGAATCTTTTGTATTTTAAATTGAATTATGTGCATTAAAAAAAGAACGGCATTGCAACTGTTCTTGCAAACAACAAAAAAACGTTCATTGTGCTGCAAATACCATTTAACATTTTGATGGTATGAAATAAGATTCAGCTTGAAAAGTTTGAGGGATGAAAAGAATTTGGTAATGCGTTCTTGTAATTATGGTAATTATGGCTACAACAATCAGTCTTATGAAATGTGCTAAAGAAAGAAGGCATATTTCTTATTGACTTGCTTTTTTATGTGTCACTACTATTTAGGATACTGTTTTCAAATCACAAAGAAACCACACTTTTATTATCTTGAGTGTTTCTAATTTATTTAAATATGTTGATACATTCAACAATAATTGTAAAACATGGAGCGTTTAATAAATGACTTAATATTTGATATATATTAAAAAAATGTAATGTATGTACCTACTTTGAAGACAAATTTTAAATGCAAATCGGCAAATTTAAATTTCTAACAATTTCTATCATGCATAAAAACACATTCAATTGATTACATGTAATTTCCTTCAGATTGACAAGTATGATTATGCATTTAAAATTGTTGTAGTTATTTGATGTAAAAATTAGAAATTTCAAGATTGCATTAGAACACATTCAATTTATAGGAACTACTAATTTTAAATGCATGTAGTTTCAAGTTTTATAAAGCAAGCCAAAGGAAATTCATTAGCCACAATCTCGATCATCCACATAATATCTTTCTCTTTGAGGCTTAATTTTTTCATCTTCAAAATTTTCTTCTTTTTATTTCAAGTCAATATCATCTTTTCCTTCTTGAATAATATAAATGGATGTGGCTCGAAATGTCTTCATTGTCGATGAATTTGCCTTTGTTTTTTACTGACTAGATTTTATAGAACACTTTCAATCAATTTTCCTTGATGCCTGTTTAACTGTTTTCAAGTTAATTCTTCATTAATAAAATGCTGCTCATTACTATCATCCTTTTTTGTTAAGTAATTCTCACAACTTCTGTCAATACAATTCAAACTCATTGAATTAATAATATCTCTCAAATTGAATCTTTTTTTCAATGTTTGATTGTATTTGATGTACACTAAATCATTTAAACAATTTTGATCCAACCAGTTTCTCATCTGTGTAAATTTGTTGAAAAAGATGTAATAAACCATATGAATTATTTTGTTAATTTAAAATTAATAAACTATCACATGCTTGAAGAGATTTTAGTTCCTATCACCCTAAATAGCATTATAAGTGAAGCTTAACATCTTTGTGGCTGATGCACGTACATCTCCTATCATTCTGTTGTATTAAAATTATAATATTAGATTCAGATTAATCTATAAAAACTTAAATTATATAG